TTGCACTTAGAGTTTTAATAATTCTTAAAATAAAGACGAGTGAGTTAGGTAGAGACTTAGCTTTAGCGATACATTTTTAATGTAAAGTATACATATGTTTTATAAAGCACACATACCTAGCCTGACAGAGGGTTTAAAAAAAAAAAAGTACTTATATATAAAAATGAATTGTAAATATCTATAATTTATTTACAGTATTATAGATTTTGTTCTAATTTTTTAATAAAAATCATGATTATGAGTTAGCAAAAAAAAAAAAAAAACAAATTATAAACTTTATATATAATATATATACTACATATTTTTATTAAGAAAATTTTAATATAATTTTATAAAATTTTAAATTAAAAATAAAATAATCAAAGCGAGTGCCCAAAAGTCGAAATCATGTGATATTATCATCATGACTTACTGCGTACGTTACGTAAGAAAATTTACGGTGAGCGAGGAACTCTTCGAATAATATATTTGGAGAATATATTATTAGAAAAGTCATAGGTAGAACCAGTGGATGGAAATTTTCTAATAGAAACTGTAATGGACACCGAAATTGCCCGCAAGACCTTCGAACTTTCTAACAACATTGTTACAGTTGATCCAGCTCAGGATCAGATATACCGTTATAATAATGACGAACAAGTACTAATAAATCAGGAGAAACCTTGGACCAAAGAGTATGTAAACATATCAAAGTCCACTTTATTTGGTCGGTGGTCAGGGTTGACGGTAGAACTACTTTTTGCCTTTTGCTCACCTCGGCATCATTTTATTGAAACACGCTAGCGTTCATTATTTCACCAAGGTCAAAATTTCCGCAGTTGCTCTAATAAAAATGGTACGAATTGGATTAATCTTTTAAGAGTCTTTTAAAGAGTTATATCGTCTCTTTAGACATTTATAAATACGAACAAATATGCGCTCGTCTAAGGTCATGCACGCTCGTTCCGGTGGAAGCATTGAAGTGATGGGTCTCATGCAAGGAAAGATTGATGGTAACACGATAATCATCATGGATGCATTCGCTTTGCCAGTTGAAGGAACCGAGACAAGGGTTAATGCTCAAGCTGAGGCCTACGAATACATGGTTCAATATCTTACTACCATTAGGCAGGTTCGTATCCTCGCAATTTTCAGATCCAAATATCGCTTTCATTCTTTTTTATTCGAATGACCTGAAAAATCTAGGTAGGAAGGCTTGAGAATGTTGTGGGATGGTATCATAGTCACCCAGGTTATGGGTGCTGGCTCTCCGGGATCGATGTCAACACTCAAATGACGAATCAACAATTTCAAGATCCTTTCGTCGCCGTGGTTGTAAGTGGTTCGAATTTTCTTTCTACTAATTTTCCGTGTATCACAATTTATTCGAAACTGTTTTCCATAACAGTTCGTGATATTTATGTAGATTGATCCCAATCGAACCGTATCTGCTGGGAAAGTTGAAATTGGCGCGTTCAGAACTTATCCCGCGGTAGAATATCTTTATTGTATGAGATCGGTTGATTCGATATTCATCATCTACGCGTCTAACTACATACTTTATGATATCAGGGATACAAAGCTCCTGATGATGGTCCTTCTGAATATCAAACCATCCCTCTAAGTAAGATTGAAGATTTTGGGGTTCACTGTAAGCAGTAGGTATAAGATATATTCACTTATGAGTTTAATTGGTTTGTGGTGGCTCATTTAATTCATATATTTTCTTCCCTTTTTTTTTTTTTTTTTTTTTTGTAAGATATTATCAACTTGAGATATCACATTTCAAATCTACTCTTGACACGCATTTACTGGAATTACTCTGGCACAAGTATTGGGTTAATACATTATCACAATCACCGCTGATTACGGTAATGTACTCGAAAATTGATGGTACAAAGGAATATGTCTGTTACCTTGAGGTTTCAGAAGCTAAAGAATGTGATGCAACTATACTATATTATTAGAATCGTGACTATTCTGCTGAACAAATAGCTGATCTAGCCGAAAAATTGGATCAGGCAGAAACAGAATTACAACAGAGTGGTAGAGTATCCGGCTTCGGAAGTATGGGGGGAAGTCGTGGGGCTACTACTCCTTCACAAGCCACCGCCGTTTCGTCGTCAACTACTGCAACTACTAGCGGTGCAAGCACTGCGTCATCTCCCGCGCCTGAGAAGAAAAGGCTGGAGGAGAGTCCACTTAGCAAGGTTACCAAGGATAGGTTTGTTTGCAAAATATATGATCCTTTCTTTTATTTTCAGTTTCTTGTTAAATAGCCCATTTTCTAATTAGCACAAAGATCACTGTTGAAGCATGTCACGGTTTGATCTCCCAAGTACTTAAGAATGTCCTCTTCAATAAACCAATTTCTATCGCAGAACAAAAGAAGATAGAAATAGGGAAGCCTCAGAATGATTGACTTCGATTATAAATAGCTCGCATTTTTTTTTTTATTGTCACGCGTTTAACATAGACAACTACGTCACACGCATGAGCAGAGAATAATATATGTGGTGTAAGTAAAAGGAGCGAAACACAGACCCAATGTACTCCTGCTGAATCAGAAATACCAAATTACCCAACTCGTTCGATTGCTTTGAAATTTCCGAGTAACTGGCTCATTTATAATTTGCAAAATAAATCTTTTATCGACAATGCAAGTTATAAAATATTTGCGTGGTTTTATCATCAATGCAAAAATAGGTAAAAAAGTAAAACCTGTATTAACAATTTTTTATTCATGTTACTATACAATGTTCTATCAAATTTATTAAACTTATGCGAATCCCTTAACTGTGTATTCCTGGCAAATTTGCAAGGAATTTGGGTTAACCACGTGATTTCAACAGATTGAGGGATACTTCGGGATACAGGAGATGGATATCTCTCCTTACTTCTCCTGAGGCCATGGACTCCAGAAGTGAATGAATCTTATTACGATTTGCTAATAAGCTTAACGGAGCAAATTGGATCACTCGATCCCATCGAAAGCATCTATGGTTTTTACCACCATGATCAACATTTCCAACATTGAATTCACGGAAACCCTTAACATCTTTATAGTTTGGCAATTAAATTCTCTATGTTCAGAAGAAAAAAAAAGGTTTATTCAATGTACCATTATTTTTTATAAAAAAGCATCATCATGATGTTACATACATAATAACGTTTTCATTGTCGGTCGTAATTGTTCTTTTAACCTCACTTGCTTTTAGTTCTTTGTCCACACTTAAAACTTTTTCCGCTATAGTTGCAAGGCGTGAGGATGGAAAAGGTATTGTTAAAGTCCTAATTTCACCATTATTATTCACGAAGAACAAGGCAGATTAGCGTTTCCTTTCGGTGTTCTGAAAACTTGAATAATATTGCGATACTAGAATGTCAATTCAAGAAAACTTGCATTGAATGCGAGTCGTGCGTAGTAATCATATTTAGCATCTAACAAAATTTCAATTCTACCGATTCAAATTTTTTTTATCATCACAAATCACATGACCACAAGTAAATGTTTAATTTACAATATATATATAAATGCATATATATATACAGTATATATATATATGGAAAGATTTCGTAAAACGGGAAAATAAAAAATAAAAAAGCAAATAACCAAAACAAAAAAATATCCATCAATGTTCTACAACCAATACGCGATCTACATTTTCCTCGACCAACAAATCGGTAAGACTATTACTTCTTGAATGGCTCTTGAGATTGTTGATCAACTTGATGGATATTTTTTTGTTTTGGTTATTTGCTTTTTTAT